AATTTACGAGAACCAACAATTATCTTAACGTTACCAATAATATCACACTAGTGATTATGAACTGTCAGAATATCAGAATTTTTCAGAGCCTACTTTGCCGCAGCTCATGAAAATATAGATATAACAAGAATAAAATGAGCCCTCAAAAATATTTTAAACCACAGAAAAGTTTTTCTGTCAAATTAACAGATCTATCGATAGTTCACCTTATTTGACTTAAATGATGTTGAACTTTGAAGACTGTTATTTTTTTGAAAAATAATCGGATTATGAATTATAAGTTCAATAAAAATTCCTCATGCTCTTTTCAAATATTGAAACATATCTCCAAAATTTCGCCATACAGAGTGTTGTTTTTTATATAAAAAAGTTTTCTGTTTGTCCTCATGATGGACCTAGTAAGTGAAGTATCTCTACCAATTATGTAGGGATTATACAAAGTGGTTCAAAAGTTATGACCAGGTGAAGATTTTGCCAAAATGAAGATAACCACCTGCATCTCATTTATAATACACGTTAGACATGATTGGGAACCATCGAAGTGTCCTCTATCTACAGGTATTGTATGTACATTCAAATCTGAAACATCCTGTATAGGACTTTTGATATCGCAACTTCGTTCTTCGGTATAAGTTGGGCAATTTATTTCATGGGTATTCCGAGGAGATATTATTAGTTCCTGATTTAAACCCGTAGACACACTGTCTTAGCGGAACATGATATTTTTTGCGAGTTATCTACATCAATTTAATTTTTTTACGCTTCTCATATTTTTGAATTGAAATCATATTTCCATTCATACAAATCATATGTTTACAAATTTTCAAGTTCATGGACGAAGTTATTCGAAGATAAATTTAGAATGTAGGTACGAACGTTTATCGTACTATGATATCATATTATAATCCATTCAATGATTTGCTTATCAGAAATTACTTTACACCTATTGAATTCTCAAAAATGTTTATGAATTCCACAAAAATAGCATCATTGTATTGATATCAGGGCAACAGTCGGATCAAAAACAATAGGAATTCTTCAAATAGCTTTATGGATCTTATAATCATGAAATGAAATACTAACAAAATTCTTGTTCCGGTACATATTATTCACATCAGCGAAAAGAAGGATAACGAATAATCAATTTACGAAGTGGACGTAAAAAATGTCAACTATTTTTCTTTTCATGTTCACATTTGCTTTATTCTTGCACATTTTTCCTATTAAAGGGCATATTGAATCAAACTCCTATAAGAATGAGAAATATACAAGGTGTTACAACAATTTCTAAGTTGAGCTCGAAACTTCCATATAAAATAATATTATCAAAACAGTGTGATGAATGGAATCACCTATAAAAAGTATCCATGCTTCATTTCAACATCAACCTAAGCCAAAAAATATCCTGAAATGCAGAAAATAGTGAATGAATCACAGGACCGCAGTTGGTTTCAATACCTCAGCTAGTTGTAGCATCGCGATTAAAAATGCCACTTTACTATGGGTTCATTATTCTCCTCTTTTTATATAAAAATGCCGGATTGAGAGTTTGGCCGCGTGATTGTTTATAAGACAACCTGTATAATTGATACCAGTCACCTTTTCGAATGTCGGTAGATGAATAGTAAAAATGAATTCTATGACGATTAAAAACAATCATATATTATTTGGGAGAGATCATGTTTAAGTTTAATGCCCTTCAAGCCAATATTGAAAGATATAAGGTACCTCTTTTGTATGGATTTGTACCCATTTGAAAGTAGACATCCTGTATCTCTAACAAAGTAATTTGAACCCATTCAAAAGAAAAAACGAAGAAAAAACGAAGAAAAAACGTCGATATACAGTTTCTAATCAACCATATGTATACAGAGAAGTGCACAAAAAACGGCCAGTGCTGTTACGTAGCACTGGGCTGTCGTAACTTCTAAATCTTTTTGAGATCGGATTTTGAAAATTGGTGGGTAGCGAGGCAAATATACCAAATTGCTCATTAATAGACAAAATCACTTCCGGTCTCACCAGAAAGGACCCCAACTTTCGATTTTCAAATCGTATAGAGATTATCATAATGAATTCAACGATACTCTGGCTGTCATAGGGTTATTTCAAACGATTACGAAGATAATCGCAATCAAAGTTTCCATATGCCCAATTAAATGAGTGTGACAGAAAAAAGAGTTACGATATAGTGAAGTCACGCGACATATTGAGCATTATGTATAAGTCGGCGTCATTTAGTGAAATCCGTCATTCCCTGAAATGCCTAGTCATATCACGTATTGTCGGCAAACAGCGTAACTTCCATTTTCAGCCGTTGCCGTTACTCTGTTTGCCGGAGGTTTGAAGAAGGAAAATATCCTTTCTGCATATGCATAAGAAGGGAGACTATTTTTCCGCCTAAATGAACCTTCTTCCTGGAAAGTATATTTTTCAGGAGGCTGACTCGGCCTAAATTAACCCTTCTTCCTAAATTAACCCTTCTTCCGTCATTACAGGGAATGCCTGAAACTATTTGGCAAACGGTGTACGAAATTTAGAGTTACGCTGTGAAATACGCAATTCGTGAAATGACTAGGCATTCCACAGAATGACGGATTCCACTGTTTGACGCCGACACATATACAGGGTGTCCCGAAATTAGCCTGCTAAACTTCACCAGCGGTTTCTTCGACCAAAAATAGAAAGAAAAGTTTCGATGAACATGAGTCGAGAAATGTCTCCTAAGGGAGCTACGGCCCCCTGGAAGGGAGCTCCTGAAGATGATATTTCTTGAATATTTCCGAAACGCTACGTGATAAAATGATGCAATTCGGTACAAGTAATAAACTTTCTATGCCCAATGCGGTGAACATTAAATCATTCCAGGATTTCATTCAGGAGTATATAATACAGGGTGGGACTACATTAAATATTGCTCAAACTTTTTCGTATGCATATTTTTTGATAATTTGATCTCGGATTATGAAAATCCACACCGTTTCACAGAAAAAAGGTGCTCTTGTTCCGCATCGATCAGATGTATCATTTCCGAATGAAATCAATTTAAAAATATTGATGCAGTCACATCTTATGCATAACGTTGGCAATATTCAATTCATAGTGGCTATAAAAAAATCAAGTGCTTTCTCTCCACCAAATAATCTCATGAAAGCGCGGAAAATATAAAAATGCCTCATTGCAATGTTATGCATAATATTTGAGATGTGATAATATTGTTAAATTGCTTTTACTCGATAATAATACATCTGATCGTCACGAAACAGGAGTACATTTTTTTTCAAAGAGGTGTGAAATTTCATAATCCGAGATTAAATTGTCGAAAAATATGCATACAAAAAAATTTGAGCAATATTTAATGTACTCCCACCCTGTATTATACACTCCTGATTGAAATCTTGAAATGATTTTATTTTCACTGCATTGGGCATAGAAATGTTGCTTCTTGTACCGAATTGCATCTTTTAATGACATGGAGTTTCGGAATAACTCAAGAAATATTATCTTCAGGAGACCCTTTTCAGGAGGCCGTAGCTCCCTTGATTTCCTTTCTATTTTTGGTAGTAAAAGTCGCTCGTGAAGTTTGGCAGGCTAATTTTGGGACACCCTGTATATCGAACGTAAATATCTTCGTGGTCATTTGGAACAGCCCTCTCAAACTCGTTATCGTCGAATTCGTTATAATAATCCCTGACCGGTTATGGAATGAAATTTAAAGTTGAAGTCGTTTCCGGTGAAACCGGAAGTGATGATGTCGATAAGCTTATTCCTACCAGGAGCTTAAGAAGCAACGGTAGGTGCTTCATTGACTGGCATTGGCAGTCTTGGTGGTATAGCTATCGGTCTGAAGAGGTAATCCCGCTGCTCAGGCTCAGGCTCCTTGTTTCCGAAATCAGTAAGAATATATGCCTCACTCTGAGGTCCTGGAGCTCTTCCGGGGACTCCTTGGACAGGCTGGGGCACGTGACATCGGCCGGCATCCCCGTAATGGTCTTGTTCAGCGCTTCCAGTCTGCGCCAAGAATTCCGTCAGCTTGGAGAGGTGAGCGAGTGAGATCAGCGACAGGGGGATGTCTGCGGAGGTTTTTCTGGGACTCTGGTGTCTAAGGAAGTTTTTGAGCCAGAGATCGGGGGTGATTAGTTGAAAATAATGTAAAGTCATTCGAAAGTAGAAAAAGGATAGAAAGAATAGATGGACATTTTTCAATCAACCTCTGTATATTTACTAGATTGATGTATTCAATGAGGCTTAATTATTATCGATATTGGATATCACTTTTCGAGCTTTTATAGCACCCCTAACGCCAACTGCTTTACCGCTTTCCTCTCCCTTAGCGGGGGTCTGAAGAGGTTATCTCGCTGCTCGGTCTCTTTGCCTTCAAAATCAGTAGGAGTATGCCTCACTCTGAATGGCAGGGGGAATGTCTGCGGAGGTTTTTGCTGGGGCTCTCGTGTCAAAGGAGGAAGGGATGCGCTCTTCCGGGCATATACAGTTTTTGAGCCAGCGATCAGGCGCGATTAATTAGGGATAATTTGAAGCCATCCAAAAGTAATGTATTCAATGAAGCTTAATTATTATTAATATTGGATATCACTTTCCTACTTTCCATAGGACCCCTCAGGCCAACTGCTTTCATCTTCCTCAGCGGCCTTCCGGGAGGCTTAGCCTCCTCCTCTTCAACAGCACCAACGACAATCACCCCCACTTCCTTCATCTCCTCAACCTCAGTTCGGCTAAAACCGTCCTTCTTTTCCACCTTAGGCTCCTCTCCTTCTCAAAAGGCAAAGGTATTGGGATAGGTATTGGTATTGGTAAGGGCAGGATAATAGGATAAGGAACGATTATAGAGGGCAGGGGTAAGAGGCTGTCGAAGAGCTTCCTCCCAGGAGCTAGAGGAGTTACTGCAGAGACTTCATCTGCTGGCACTGGCAGTAAAGGTGGTGTGATGCTATGGGTCTGAAGACGTTATCTCGCTGCTTTTCGGTTCTTTGTATTCAGAATCAGTAAGGGTAAGCCTCCCGCTGCGGCCCTGGGGCCCTTCCGGGGACTCCTTGGGCAGACTGGTGCACGTGACAGTGGCCGGCATTCTCTTCCTGTCTTTTTTTCTGCGCTTTCAGTCTATGCCTTCTGCTCTCCGAGGATTGCGTCAGCTTGGAGGGGTGAGCAAGTGAGATCAGCGGCAGAGGGGATGTTTGCGAAGGCTTTCCCGGGGCTCTGGAGTCTGAGGGGCAAAAGGGGTACGCTTTTTCAGGGATTTGCAGTTCTTGGGCCAGAGATCGGGGGTGATTAATTGAAAATAATGTGAAGCATCCAGAAGTAAAAAGGAAATAAAAAGCATAGATCGACATTTTTTAATCAATCTTTGTACATATTTACTAATTTAATGTATTCCATGAGGCTCAATTATTATTAATTTTGGATCACTTTTCTAGTTTTCATAGCACTCCTTACGCCAACTGCTTTCATCTTCCTTAGCGGCCTTCCGGAAGGCCTCTTTAACAGCACCAACGACAATCATCCCCACTTTCTTCAGCTCATCAACCTGAGTTTGGCTAAAAACCGTCCTTTTTTATCTCCCTCCACCTTAGGAGCAACTGCGCAGAGACTTCATCTGCTGGCACTGGCAGTCTAGGTGGTGATGCTATAGATCTGAAGAGGTTATCTCGCTGCTCGGTCTCTTTGTCTTCAAAATCAGTAGGGGTATGCCTCACCCTGAAGTCCTGGGGTCCTTCCAGGACTCTGGTGTCTGAGGAAGTTTTTGAGCCAGAGATCGGGGGTGATTAGTTGAAAATGATTTGAAGCTATGCAAAGGTGAAAAAGGAATAAAAAACATGGATCGGCATTTTTTAATCAATGTTTGTTTATTTACTAGATTAATGTATTCAATGATGCTTAATTATTATTAATATTGGATATCACTTTTCTAGTTTTCATAGCACCCCTCACGCCAACTGCTTTCCTCTTCCTCAGCGGCCTTCCGGGAGGCTTAGCCGCCTCCTCCTCCTCCTCCTTAACAGCACCAACGACAATCACCTCCACTTGCTTCAGCTCCTCAACCTCAGTTTGGCTAAAACCGTCCTTCTTTTCCACCTTAGGCTCCTCCTTCTTGAAAGGCAAAGGTATAGGGATAGGTATTGGTATCGGTAGGGGCAGGATAATAGGATAAGGAACGATTATAGTGGGCGGGGGTAAGAGGCTGTCGAAAAGCTTCCTTCCAGGAGCGGGAGGAGCTACTGCAGAGGCTTCATCTGCTGGCACTGGCAGTCTAGGTGGCGATGCTATGGGTCTGAAGAGCTTATCTTGCTGCTCGGGCTCTTTTTCTTCGAAATCAGTAGGAGTATGCCTCACTCTGAGGTCCTGGGGCCCCTCCGGGGACTCCTTGGGCAGGCTGGTGCACGTGACAGTCGCCGGCATCCGCTTCCTGTTCTTTTTCTGCGCTTTCAGTCTGCGCCTTCTGCTCTCCGAGGATTCCGTCAGCTTGGAGGGGTGAGCGAGGGAGATCAATGGCAGGGGGGATGTCTGCGGAGGTTTTTCCGGGGCTCTTGCGTCGGAGGGGGAGGGGGAACGCTTGCCTGGGGATTTGCAGTTCTTCAGCCAGAGATCGGGGGTGATTAGGTTGCTGCTGGTCGAGTCTTCAGAGTGCAAGTGGGGGTGTAGTTCAAGGTGGGCGCGGGTTTCTCTGCAGAAGATGTGCATCTTGTATTGGTTCAGGCATTTGTCGGAGCAGAACTGGAGTTGGGATGCGCCTTCCTGAAAATGATGAATCGAAGTGAAGGAAGTAGTTTACAGAGGTATTTCTATGAGAAAAAAAATCATCCTTATTTAGGCCAATATAGTAGGCAAATATAAATTCAATATCGAATTTACATATATGAGAAATATAAGGAACCGGTTTCTATAAAGTGGCATATATAATCTTTGTACAATCTTTTATACGAATAAAAACTCGATATTGAAAAGACTATATCGAAACAATATTCAAATTCAACATAGCACCAATATTTAAAATCAATATATCCTTATATTCACTCTTTACTGGTTTAATATTCAACCAATATCAGTTTTATACCTGGATCGCTGCGGTCCATGAGAGCCTTACTTTACGCCCTTGATACATAAATAACTATTTCTACTTTTCAAAATGAAAGAGTTATAGGAAATAATACTTTATAACGTATCACCCGGTGTGATGGTGTTTCGGAACTCAGAGTGGTAAAATATTGAATTTTGCCTGGATTTTGAGCATTTCTGAATGTCTTCAATATAGTGACGAGATTTCAACGTACTTGAAAATCGACGTAGGATACAGTATGTCGTACATGTCGACACCAATCACAAGTCTTGCTCTTCTTGAAGTTGGCCCTCCTGGACTGAGAGAAGCACATTTCTGAACAATACACAGCAGATGCAGCTGTCAGGGCAGCACTTTCTTCTACTGATTTCCCACACCAACCACATCCTTCTGAAAGAAAACAAAACGGTTATTCCACATGATATAATGAATTCTGAACGAAGAAACTACCAATCACAAATTTGTTTGGGATTTTTAATAATTACCACTAATTAAAATCGAGAATGGAAAATTTTATGGAACGGAATTTGATGTTTATGAAATATATCAGATAGTTATTTGTTATACGAGGGACAAAAGTAGTAGATTTTAGCTCCAGGTTGTGTTGTCTCCAGACGCATAGCGGAGGGAGACAAAAAACCGTGAGCTAAATTCTAATATTTTTCCCATGTATAATACACTATTTTTTTCTGTGACAGAAGAAAGGACGAATCAATATTGAGAAGATATTTTGAAATCTGAAAATTATCGATGTGAAATATTTAGTTTTTATCAGTAGGAACACCTGCGTTGTAGGCATCTTTATCATTCTTTTGAAGTAATCAAATATCTGATGTCACTTCTGTCAGTCTGAAGTTGTGATTTGATTTCAAAAAATTGCGAATTTAGTGGTTGTTTAGTAATATACAACCGCGAAGTCGAATGGAAGATAAAAGGACTTGCAGTTCTTTCTCGGAGACAGTATTATCAACTAAATTTTTCGCACAACAAAAGCCATCAACAGTGTTTGACCGGAAGTACATCCTTTTATTTTTCAAATGCAAAGTATATTTTTTCTGAGATACCGATTCAGTATAGAATTACTTGTCTAACGATATATCACAATCGTACTTTCAATCCACAATCCAGCATGGGTATGAAATGCCAAATCTGCCGAAATCGGGAACAAATGAGATATGCGTCCCAATCCAATTAACCTACCATAACAATGTTGCTCATTCTTGATGTCCTAGTACATCCTCTTTAGTTCCTAGGAGCTTAAGTTGAACTTTAGCTCCTAGTACCTAAAAGTGTTGCCTAGCAACATACCTATTTTTGTGTCAGTGATAGAAACGTCAACTCAAGAGGTAATTTCCTTTGCTAACTATATAACTGATGTATAACTTGCTTCACCACGTAGCTACAATGTGGATGCTGTTTTGGTACTTTGTACTATATGCAACTTAAAATCCTAAATAAATAAATGAATAAATAAAATGTCATTATTTTGAATAAGAAATAGGGCTGGTCTACTATAGTTCAAAATAATTTCGTTATACCACAAAAATGCATGAAAATATTTTCAATTTTTTTAAGCCAAAACTGTGATTCAGACGGAATAAATTCGGGGAGTCAGTTTGTTGCAGAATAAATGAGGATTTCAAAAATGATTTTTTTTTTCGGCTAAGCAAGGGCAAACAATATATTTTTAGAAAAAATCTCCTGCTTCAAGAAATGCCTATTGGTGCTTAGTAGGTGCATGTCAAATTTCATGGAGATATTTGAAATAATATTGAAGTTATGAAGAGAAAACGAATTTTTTCTTAAAATTTCAACACCCTATAGCTCACAAATTAGGAGGTTCAGGTCATATTATGTTCATATGAACTTTTTTTCTCAAAATGAGCAGACGAACAATATCCCTTATTTTAAGCCATCAATCAAATTACACCTGTGTAAGTCTCATACATATAAGACTATTTAATTTATCACTACAATTGCGGTAACACCATTGTTATCACAATATGTCATCACCAGTATTTTCACACCTTATTTGGCAAAATGTATTTCCAATAGACCTTTTAAATACAAAAATATATCCAAAATACCACAATAATATTTAGAAAAGCCATTCGCATTTCGGCAAATTGGTTGCCATTCCCAGTTTTTTTTTTCAAATCTTTTGGAGCGCACGAAAGGGAATCCCTTATGTGTCCATAAAACATCCTGTGTACCTTCGGACTATCAGGAGGAAGAGGTATGTATTGGATATTTATATAATGTTGGGAGTTTTTGAATTCTTATGGAAATACCTTCTTCAGCAGAGAATTCCAGAGCTCTGACGTTCTATGAATAACAGCGATTTTTGATATCTAGTGGTTCGACATAAGGATGTGCTGACTAAGCTTGTCGAGTTCGTCTGACTAGTATTGCTAGTGATCTACAAATTCTCAATACTATTGTATGATTGACTACATTGATTTACAAATGTTGTATAAATGAAATAACGGACTCCTGGTACAAAAGTGAACACTCGTTGCCGATATTATACACCGAGTCTCAAAATAACTCGGATTATCTTACACTTTCGTCAAAAGCTGCACCAGAGTTTCAGTATTTCACAGGCGGCTCTGATCCATAATTAGCTTAGTTTTCTACCTATATATCCGATCTTCCTTCAGTTTAGTTCCTCTATCAAATTCCTTGTTCTGTTAGTCTAAGGAACGACAGTCGAAATTTGATTAGTCGAAATTGAAACATGGCTTTATTCAGAATTTCATCTAACTACACTCACCGGCAAAAAAAAGGCACTAAAAAATTTGCCCAAATTGTTCACCCTGTAACTTCTTTTCTAATACTTGTCCGATTTTTGTGAAATTCCAATCAAATCGTAGATTCATGTTCCGAAATGTTAGCCTAAATATTAGTTGCCGTGAAATGCTGATGACTTGATCATTATACAGGGAAAACCCCAAGTTACTCTTTCGCCCTTTACTTGGCGAAATTAAGTGGTTGAACTTGGCTTCATCATGTTTTGGATTGAAGTGTCATCTTTTCTTGACACAATTGTTTTCGATTCACGTCATGATCTTATTTTCAAAAGAAGATACGAGTGTTTCAGGAAAGTATGGCATTTTTCAATTTCAGAACCTACAAATACTTATTGATTAACAACTTAAGGAATTGATACCACTTACTTCTACCTCATTTTTTCAGCACTTGCCGAAAAAAAAAACTGGCATCGAGTTGATCAAATTTCTGAAGTAGCCATGAAGAATTGCTGAGAGAATTGCTTAACTTTTACTTGAAGGGCGAACTATAGCTCTTGAAGAGTTTCTGACAACGTCGGACGAAGACGAATGAGTTCATCCCTAAGAAGTCCTATTGGTTCTGAATTATTGTTGAAAAAATAAAAAAATGCCATTCTTCCTCAAAACACTTGAATATTTCTTTGAAAATGGTCGATCGTTGGCAACAGTTTCTGCTCAATAGTTCCAAGAAAGCTATAACTTCTCTTCTGCACATATTCAACAATGAACTTTTAAGCATTGATTCAGATAGTTTGAGCCAATCTTCGTATCCTCTCATTTATAAAAGTCTCTCTCTACGGGTAAATGTTCAAAATTACCTCAAAGCGCCCGTTCCCATATATATAACTAGAATTATTATCGCTCAACTAAGGACATGCAGTAAGTCGTTCTTCAGAATTACCTTCAATCGAATAGTGTATAGAATAAATACTGAAGAAGAATGCACTGTTTGCAATCTCCACAGACCGGAATCTTTGGAACACATTCTCTTTGAATGTCCAGTTTATGCTGGTATCAGGGATTGTCGATTATTTCAAGACGTTGAATCTCTGAATTATGGTGGCCTATAGCTGACTTGAAACTCAGGTTCTGATCAATTTGTTGAAGCTTAGATTTTTTGCTGTGAATGAGTAATTTGCATATCAATTATTGTTTCAATGCCTATCAAGGTCCCGCAGGAAGGATTTTCGTTTTCGTTTTAGCCATTAGTTAATTCTCATGTATTCATTAATCTCAAATTACCCAACCCTTGTAATAATAATTGTAATTCTTTCAATACAATAAATCTATCTATCTATCTATCTCTATCTATTTCTTTGAAAATGAGATATTGACGTGAATCTAGAACTATTGTGTTGAGAAGAGACCAAATAGGATAACACTTCAATTCGAAACATGATGAAGCAGAATGTTGGAGAATGGTTCTGAATTATTGTTAATAAAAATCGAAAAATCCATACTTTCTGAAAACACTTCTCTTCTTCTCTCTAAAAGTGGTTAAAGGCTGTTGAGAAGTTGTGGATGAAAGAGTAACTTTTGTTTTTCCCTGTATATTGATCAAGCCATCAGCTCCTCTTAGGTACTTATATTCAGGCCAACATTCTGAAACATGAATATACGATTTGGTTGATGTTTCACCAAAATCGGACAAGAATTTAAAATGTTACAGAGTGAACAACTTGGCTAAATTCTTTGGTGGCCGGTTTTTATTGCCGGTGAGTGTATACCAAAGTTCATCTCGTTGATGGATAACCCTGTACATTTTGGCATTCACGTCGATGCCAGATGAAAATATAGTTAGGTATGTAAGACTAACTTCGCAAATTATAATTGGACAGCATCATCAATATTGAAATCAAATGATTATGAAATCGGAATACATTTCGATATTAATTTGATGGGAAATCTGATACTGATTAAAGTTTTTGTGATAATAATTGTGATCATTTGTTCGATTATAATTGAATTTCCGATATTCCGATTCTAATGATGTGCTTCGGTTGAAAATGAGAAGGAAAATATTGTATATTTGAATATCGATGACCACAATTTGTTTCTGCATTTTTAGTTTTGGTAAAGAGGTCAGTTTACAGCCGACATAAATATAGGGTGTTATATCGAATTTGCTCAATTCTTTATAGTGATGGTCTCATTTTGAATACAAACAAAACCAATTATGTCCGTTTCCTGCCAAAAAACGTAAATCCAAATTATGACCTATACCTAAACTTGTCTGGAAAATCTATACAATCAGTGGAGACTATCAAGTTCTCAGGTGTTACTTTGGATAGTAAGCTAACATGGGAAGCACACATAAACACTGTATGTTCGAAACTAAGCACTACATGCTATGTAATAAAAAATCTGCGAGATACTGTATCTACAAACATCCAGAAGTTACTTTATTTTGGGCTGGTTCAGTCAACTCTGCAATATGGCCTGATATTTTGGGGGTCCTCTTGTCACTTTGAAAGGGTATTTGTATCACAAAAAAGGATAATGAGAACAATTTGCCCATCCAATGAAAACATGTAAACCACTCTTCAAGAAATTTCAAATACTAACCCTACCATGTTTGTATATTCTTGAACTAACTATGTATATAAAAATGAACCAAAATGAATTCATGAGAAATGAAGATATGCATATGTATAATACTAGGAATGAAGAATGATATTTCATTCAAAAATAAATTGAAGAACCTTCTTCTTGAAAATGCATTTTATAGTGTGGAGGAGTTTTATAATAATTGTTGATGTTCAAATATTGTCAAAGTTTCTAATGTGTATGTATGAGTGTTTTATATTTTGTCTCTGTGACTTTACCTATAGGTACACTATTTTAGCATTGTATTATTTGTAACCATTTCTTCGTTTGACTAGTCTGATGAGTTTTGTACATTGTGTATGAGCTATACCTTGTATAATCTTTGATTGACGAATAAATTTATCTATCTTATCTTAACGAACCACCCAGAATATTTTTGAATTTCTTAGCACACCATGATGTGTTTCTACTACCCTACTGACGTGCACACTAAATAGTAAAAATAAATCGTACTGGTTATACCCTAAATCCAAGAAATTATGTAACTATAAAATAACCTGTTCCGATGGAATTCGATGAATTCCATTCAAGATTTGCAAAATTCACAAAATACAGAACAAAACGTTGTCCGCATATAATGTTACTATTATATACCCTAATTTAAAAAAGATTTTCTTGCACAAGGATGTTCAAAAAATAGAATATTTTGGAAATTCCGTTTCAAAATGTGAAAGTATACGGATAGGACGATTTTCTTTGCTCTGAATAGTTAATGTCTATAATAATTTTTGATATGTGGAAAAATATGAAGGAAAGATATAGATTCGATAGTATGTTAGAAAATATTTGAAGTATGGACCTGCATATACATGCACACCTAATTTTTATTTATGGTCCAATGCAAATGCAATGCAAATAAGTTTTCATCAAATAATTTGGAAAATTTAATATTATCCGTCCAAATGTCAAAAAGTCAAAATTTGAAGCGGAAATCCAAAATTCGATTATACATGTCGTTGTTTTGATTCAATTGATTGATTTATTGATTCCATTTATATATACAGGCTGTCCGAAGTCTGGAAACCGAGATGGAAACTGTGATATATCTATGGTTGATAGTATTTGATTGGGTGGACGAAATTGGTAGCAATGGAAAGATACTCCTCAAACAACAAACAACTTGTACATATTGTATACCTACCGAACATCAGAAAAATATAATGAGTGATTCATTAGTTAACCTAACCTAACCTAACCTAACCTAACCTAACCTAACCTGACCTAATGAAAAAGTGAGTAAAATCGATCTAACACCATATATCTCAATTATAGAATCTGTATCAAATATGGTATTTTGAACTGATTTTGATGATCGATATAATAAAGTTATTCAAAAATGAGTGGAAAATATATCAAATACGAATAAAAAAACATATACCTGCGCATCGAACTTTCCATTCCAAATTAATAAAAAAATCATCGCCCCTTCACCATAAATTTCTAGGAAATGTTCCCCTAGCAAATCTTGTCAATAAACCGCCAAATATGCAGGAAATGACTGATATAGAGGTGTCATGATGAAATTGTTCTAGGAACTCGACCCCAATTACTGGAATCGCAATAATCGCACCTATATATCATTAATTCAGACAACGTAATTTGAAAGTCATTCTTTGCTGTTGTACTTAGGAAGCACCCTATAGGGGTGCATAATAATAACCAAAACGTTCAGTGGCGTGTCCAGACGGGGTTATCTGGGGAGGTGGGGGGAAGGTCAAAGCACCATTCCCTCCCCCAAGATACCAGACCATCAGTTGCAGGCATTTGGCATTGAGTGAACATTTATTTCATTCTGACAACCTTTTATCCAAATTGGGCACGCCAGTGGGATATACAGGGTGTTTCATAATTGAATGCTGATCCTGAAGAGCGATGATCCTTGGATGATTTTAAGGAGAGAAGTTCATATCAACATATGTCCTGAACCTCTCAGTTTTTGAGTTACAGGGTGTTGAAATCAGAAGCGTACAGCGTTTTTTCAAACAAAACATTCAATATCAGGTCTACGAGGACATCACTGGTAAAAGTGAAAGTTTGATTCTCGTCCCAAAACAAAATGTGTTTCCACTTATAGTGGGTGTCTACTGAATTACCAAAAACAATATCCAAGAACTGAAGGAACAAAATTCTTTGGTTTTTATTCTTTTACGTGAAAACGGTACGTTGTATGGAAGTAAGTCTAAGAACCAAATTTGCTCCAAAATAAATGAGAATTGAAAAAATAATCTGGTTCTCATAAAAAATCAGTGGCGTACTATTTTTTTCTTCAAAAATTGTCAGTTCAATCCCCGTACGGACGCCACTGGTGAGAATTTTTGAATATCTTTCACGTAAAAAAATGCTCCTTGATAATGAAAAGGTGTATACAAAATATCATACCAATATCTAAGAGTGATAAAAAATTATGATGAAAAACTCATTTTTTTCTTGAAATTTCATCACCCTGTAGCTCAATAACTAAGAGGTTTAGGACATATGTTGATATGAACTTTTCTATTTGAAATCATCCAAGGATTATCGCCCTTGAGGATCAGCATTCAATTATGAAACACCCTGTATATGTTTAGGGAATATCCTAAAGTACAAGTCTTCTTCATGCCAAGATAAGAAATATATACAGGATGTCCCGAAATTACATAGAAAGATTTCAACTTCAGATTCTATGAATAAAAATAGTAAAAAAAGAGCATATAAACTTAGGTCCAGAAATTGCCCCTTATTATCATCTGAAAGGAGACCCTCTGTGATGGAATAATCAAATCTTGTATTTGTACCTAACTTTTTATGCCCTATCGGAATATGTCTAGGAATTTCCCTAAATTTTGATCAGGAACTTGGGAAATAGGTGATGGCTACACGTACTATTTACCCCAACTTATTTTTTAATGCAATTTTTGGCAACTTGATCAAGAAATATTGGAATGTTATCTTTTTCACTTGAAAATTGTTCTCCTGTTCAGTATAGATAGCGAGATGAATAGATTTTCAAAGTCTGCTGCATTTTTTTTATGTTCTGGTTCCCACGAAAAGGGATATCCAGTAATGTTCAGTGAACATCGTGAGAACCAAGGGATAAATAAGGTAGGAATTGGTGTTCTTCTTAAATTTCTGGAGGTTATATGCCTTGGGGAACACCTCCCTTGGCAATGTGTTCCAGTGCCTCGCTGTTCGTTGGATGAACGAGTCTTTGGAATGAGATGTTCTGCAGGTCTCCAAAGTGACCACGAAGGGATACGATGCCTCAACTCGACGGGTTAATCTCGCGGAGACTGCCAAGGGACAACAATTGTTGATATTTCAGAAGAGCATCGTCCATGCAAATATCTATTAAATAGAGCCAGATCGCCAACTTTTTTAAATAAATAGAAATAGTGCTGTACGATGTCTAGGAATTGGATTTATCTTCTTTCTCAACAACAAATAGAAGCCAACATGTCAGTCAGCAACCGTTCCTATAGAGTTTGGTGATTGCAATAAGTATCCCTAAAGATTCATCAGTCGTCCCCTCTTATTCGATTTTCCAATGACAGGAATCTATAGGAAACCATCCTGGACTCTCTCTCCAGGACAACGTGTGGGAGGGGGGATGAGGTTGAAGAGGTTTTCCATCGTTGTGCCATTGAAGTGAAGGACATCACCTCAATAGTCAGAGTAGTGTGATTTTTTTAGAGTATCCAATAAGTATAAGAAACTCACCTGTAGATTTTGGTGATGACTTAGAACTGGTACTTCCCGAGAAAGACCTGCAAGATTTGGGCATTTTCAGATCATCTTTCGCATTATCGTAACCATACCATCCTAGCAGTTCATTCATCGCTGTCTCTGCAAACTCCTATAATGAAAAAGAAAAATATTTACACAGGGTGCTGTGATTCGGTATTCGGTCGAAAATACTTCACAGGTGATAGCGCTCGTTATCTCAAGCGGTTGGTTTTAGAGATACAGGGTGTTGAAGTTGAGAAATGAAAATCGTTTTTCAGGTAAACAACTAACTGTTTGGTGAACTCACGACATCATTTTCGAACGTTTCTATATGCTTGCATACGGAGGTGATCGTATGTCGGAACGCATTCGAGACTGATATTTCAGAGGCGTGCAGTACTCTAACACTTACACTTGATCCGTTATTAAGATCACTATACAAATGTTTGGAAAAGCTATTTCTGTTCAGCTACAGAATGAAAACTGAGAATGAGTATCTACTCAACCACCACTCAGGAAAAAGTAGTACTTTGTTTTAAATGTTTTACTGGGCAGCAAAGTCAGTCAATGCAGTCAATCTATATTCGCTGCGGTGTGGAACATAAACAGGGTGTATCTAAATAACACCGAAAAAATTCAAGTGGTGATTCCTTGTGATATTTTAGGAAATAAAGTTCATATAAAAATGTGTCCTAACTTGCTTCGTTTTCGATTCGGAAACACCCAAACTTCATTATTCCGAATGATTTCGAATTGGATCATTCATTCAATAGATATACAGTAGAGGAATTTGCAATACCATCCTCCTTTTGGTGTCATATTTCCGAAACAAAAACATCAACCATTGATATCCGATTCTGTTTCCAGACTTTTCAGCTTTTGAGTAATGAATAGGAAATGTTCAGTTCAATTTTCAAATAGGACCTATTCAGTTTCACAACATATATTATTATGTAGAGATTTCAACACACCCTCTTTCATAGTGTTATTTTCATACTATATATTTAGAAATGTTCTTTTCATGTATGATTCAATTCAAACAATTTTCTTCATGGCATGATAAATCTGTACAGGGTGACATTCTGAAAACTTTCCTCCCTCAATATCTTCCTTGCAGTGAATAATATGAGAAATCGAAAAAACAGGTCGATTTCATTTTCAAGAAGGACACTTGAAATGATCAGTTTTAGCCCTCTTGGTTCAATCCCTTAGAATCTCAAATGGGAAGGGGGGTTGCGTGGCACATCATTTTGAAGGGAGTTCAATTCTCTTTCCAACAGTACCCTAAGTAATCATTTTCTGTCGAGCAGTTTCCGAAAATTGTCGTGTCACTTAGAAAACTTCCCACCCGATGATATCCTAGATAACACGAAGACCTCCTGTGTACTTCCAGAGGACATACATCTGGGATGTCCAAGACGTCCAGTGTCGGTCGAGATACGTCCATAGGACGTACTGGGGACGTCCGATGTTACAAGATAGAACGTCCCAGGAACGTCCATATTAGGCCCAAGTTTGGTATTTCATCGCCATGAATACCACAATCAACGTAGATTCACCTTTTCTTACTTATATAGATGAAAAAGAAATCTATACAGAGTGGATAAAAATGTCATTTTGAATACAAAATGAAAAAAATGCCTTCCTTCCAGGGATCGATCCAGCGGTCATTAGATTACCAGGCAGATGCTTCAACCATTATTCTACACAATACTTATTGGAAAGTCAGAGTTACCTCTGTTCAGAACATGCAAGTAAGAAGAAAACATAATAAACATTGAGTGCAGAAACACTCCACCAAATGGAATTCGCTATGAATCAGACTGAATGTCCTGATTAATCACATATTTTTTTATTTTCTGGTTCCCACGAAAAGGGATATCCTATAATGTTCGGAGAACATTGTGGGAACCAAGGAAAATGGGGTAGGAATTGGTATTCTTCTTAAATTTCTGGAAGTTACATGCCTCGGGAAACACCTTCCTTGGCAATGGGGTCCAGAGCCTCGCTCTTCGTTGGATGAACGAGTCTTTGGAATGAGATGTTCTGCAGGTCTCCAAAGTGACCACGAAGGGGTGCGAAGCCTCAACTCGACGGGTTAATCTCGCGGGGACTGCCAAGGGAGGTACAATTGTTGATATTTCGGAACAGCATCGTCCATGGAGATATCTATAAAATAGAGCCAGATCACCAACTTTTCTACGGTGTTCCAGAGAAATGAGTGAGTTTGTGAGCAAGGCATCACCTACGAGACGAATTGCCCTTTTTTGGACAGAATCCAACAGTTTCAGGGTATGTTTGGGTGCTGCACTCCAAATATGAGAACAGTATTCCAGAACAGGTCGGATCTGTGCCTTATAGATGATAAGCAGCTGACTGGAAGTGAAATAGCTCCTGGCCCGAAACAGAAAACCAAGTTTTTGGGATGCACTTTTAGCAATTGATCTCACGTGATTTTCCCAAGAAAGGTTATTGCTGATAGTAATACAGAGCATCGAAATGGATGTCTTCAAAGGTATGGTTACTCCTGAAATGCTTATTTTTGGCACAGTGAGATTGGCTTTTCTGGAGAAAAGGCATGCTTGAGTTTTGTTTGCATTGAAATCTACCAAGTTATTGAATCCCCATTCGAGAATTGTTGCCAAGTCCATATTTATGTTGTCAACATTTCTCCCTCGTTCATTTCTGATTTGCCTGGCTAGTATTGGAGCCCTGGAAGAGAAGGCGGTATGGAGGGTACTATCATCCGCGAAGCTGTGTACTGGACATGAAGTTGCTTCCAACAAATCGTTGATATGGAGTAGAAATAGAGTTGGTGCTAGAATTCATCCTTGCGGAACACCAGCATTTATGATAAGAGAGTCAGATGAAACTCCGTCGATGACTACACGGAGAGACCTGTTTGAGAGAAAACTAGCTAGCAGAGAACATAGCTGGGGAGGCAAGCCCGAGGGCAAGCCATAAGATGGAAGCTTGGCGAGAAGTCCGTGGTGCCAGACACGATCGAATGCTTTGGAGATATCAAGTGTCACCATATTTTTCACTAGATTGCTGCCATATATGTGAGACGAAGGCGAGCAGGTCACCAGTTGATCTCTGATGACGGAAGCCATATTGCCTATCGTTGATAATACCTGAATGTTCCAGGTATTTCATGAGCTCGATGTTGATAGCTTTCTCTATGATCTTTGAAATAATAAATAGCAGTGCGATCGGTCTGTAGTTGCTAGGTAGGGTCTTTTTGCCTTTTTTAGGAACTGGTTGTACTCTTGCAATTTTCTAGTTGGACGGAAATATCCCCAATTTGTAAGAGTTGTTGAACAACTTGCAGAGAACAGGTGTTAGTTCGGGATCACATTTCTTGAGAACAATCGGTGGGATTCCGTCGGAGCCACAAGCTTTGTTGGTGTTGAGACCCAATAAAATCTTCCTTATACATATATGGCATATAGTGCAGGACGTAGAATGTGCATATAAATTCATCTGGATATACATTATTCAGGATAATGATGTGCCAACATTGCGAGATTAAATTCAATTTCTCCACATTGATAAGTGAAAATCACTTATTGATTCATTGTGACCTATTATCAAATGGATCGACAGATGATTGGCTTACTACTCTATTTGATCACATTGAAAAATATAATGAATATGAAGTGAAAAATGAATATAAAAAAATGTGACACTGAAAATGGACGTCCTGAAAACGTACGCTCTGTACGTCCCGAAGACGTACGGGATTGTACGTTCTGAGGACGTCCATATTAGGTTCCGGGACGTACGGACTCGAATCGGACGTAATATGTACGTCCTCGGGACGTCGTGTGCTTTCTGGGATCTTCCTTCCAAATGTAAAAACTTCACAAACGATAATCAAAATCAATTCAAAATCTTCCTTTCAGTAAATAAAATGAAAAATCGAAAAGATAGGTCAATTTCAATGTCGAGGGAGGCACTTTAATTGCATATTTTCAGCCCTCTTTGTTGAACCTCCTATCACAAAACTATAAATAGGTATTCAAATTCAGAACTTCTCAACATTATCAGAAAATGTATATGGCCGGTGGTATGGCCTAAACCACATTCTCTATCATTATTGGGTTATTACTGATTGTTCTATCAATATGAAAAAGTGCATTCGGGAAATTGTTGTTGTTACAATGTAAGTAGGTATCTACATTTTATATCACCGGAAGGTTGATGATAAAAATACAATAATATAGATATAGGTAATCAAATGTACAAGTGATTTGAAACACAATTGGTAATAAAAACAATTCTTGTCATAATAACTTCACACAAGAATAATTATCGAATGAGTATTCAATCAGTACTCATCAATAATGAGCTATGCCGCTTATAAAAAAATAACTATTTTCTACGGCTATAACACAAAATTGTTCTTGTTTTACTGTGTTCGATACATAAGTGAGGTACTTTGTTTGTCATCAATTTTATTTCCGTATCTGATATCACAATTCACAAAATTCGAATGGTGAGAACGAATTTGTTACATATCACCCAGTATTTGAAAAGTTTCGGCATTAGGCTTTTCACTTCATTTTGATTTTTTATTCATTCACTTGACACTTGACTTTTTTCTGATATACCTAATCAATTAAATCTATTTGGAATGAGCAAGGTGCAAGACAGAGAGTACAGGTGTATATTTTACACTCAGTTTACCTCTGCATGTAACCCTACACCCTGTATAGCTTGTAACACGAATCTGAAATGAAACCCAGAAACTTTATAGAGACAGCGGATCCAGCAGCAAATAATATCAAGGGCGCATATAATGCCCGAAAAACTGTTAATCCTCTTCGTCAAGATAGAGCAATGGTGAATCCACAAATATTTGTCAATCATTCTCTTTGAAGTCGCCATATTGTATTTCTCAATGGAAAGACATCCGGTAGTAAGGAATTCCAGAGGTGACGTCCTATGACATGTTTCGCTAACACAGTAGCTTCGTCAGGTGATATACTGGTACAACGAACTAAACTAACGTTGGCTTGCTTGACTTTTATATATCCTACTTTCCCAACCTGAAGGATTAGTTACCTGTGGACAGGTACGATAAACCACCATTTTCGGAAATTAGGCACAATATCTACATTAAAATAC